TACCTTTCCTTTTCACCAAACCCAGTGAGGCAGTGGCTGCCATGAATCAGTGTCTGGATTCAGAAATTGACTGGATGAGGGCCAACAAGCTAAGACTCAGTCCAGACAAGATGGAGGTGCTGTTGGTGGGTAGACCGCCTGTTCAGTCAGGAGATAATCAGCCTGGCCTGGATGGGATTGCTGTTCCCTTAAAGAAAAAGGGGCTCATAGTCTGGGTGCTCCTGGATCCAGTCTAGGAGCAGTACTAGGAACTGTTCAGGTGCTAGATGAATGTTTGTAGGCGAGGTATACATCCCCTATTATCATGGCCATGCACAGGGAAGCTGCTGTTAAAAATTAAACTCTGAGTCAAAAATACTTAAAGATGTGTATTGAAATATATAGGCTGCACAATGATATAGTGTTGCTCAGCCACTTGTAAAAAGAGATTTTTTCAGTTTTGATGATACAGTGAGCACTCACAGTACCAAGAAACCATAGAGCAGATGCTTGTTTCTGTTTGTGGTTTTCTCCAAACCAAACATGCCATGATGAAATACCCTGATGGGTTTTCGATGACCAAGACAGGTAAAAATCCTCCATTGTTTGTCATATCATGCAAACCAACCCGGATTGACTCAGAGAAATCTGTTTCCCCTAGTCTGTTCTTCAGTAATTTGATCTGCTTTGTAACATTGTTCAGGTTTTAAAATGCTCCAAGTGGGTTTTTGCATGGCATGACAAGCCATGATAGTTTCTTGCACAGGATGGCCAGTTGTGTTACCTGCTCCTCCTTGTGGTATTTTGGTTTTTAAAAACCATGAACAGAAACAATGATCTGTTCTATGGTTTCCACAATTTGTCATGTTTCTCTGATAGTCCAGATCTGGCATTTGAAGTCCTGCTATGCAGCTACTACAGAGTCCCCTAGAAAAACAGAAGCTGTAGGAACTGCTCCAGTCATCCAGCATGAGATTGAATTTCAGGTATGCGTGATGATGGGACATATGCCAGCAGCCTGAGGACTGAATGAGGAGGGTGGAAACCATGCAAGCCTAGGAAGCACTTGCTTGTCTGTCAGGCACATCCAGGCAAAATACTACACATCATGAAAACTGCACACGGTTGCCTGTCATGACAAGTGAGCTCAGCACTCATTCAGTCCTGGTGGCTGTGTATTACCACCTTTAGTCAGAGGAGGCCTGTTTCCCAAAACTAGTTGCTGGGGATTAGAAGCGGGAGGGTCAGCCATCTGGCTGAGCACTGTAGCCACAGAATGCTGAGCTACAGAACTTCTGCCTCTCGTCCTGTCATGCCCTTGCTGGCATCTGGCCTTCGCCTGCTCCTGACTCTACTGTCACCTTCATGTCTCACCAGCCTTGAATCTCATGTTGAATCTCATGAGTTGAATCTCATGAGTTGAATCTCATGAGTTGAATCTCATGTTCTGTCTAAGATGCTTCACTAGGTTGCCTTGACGCTGCAGAGCCCTTGCCTCCACTGCCTCTGCACCACCACCTCCTCCTCAGAGCTATTCCATCTGGACAGCCTGCAGAGGGTAAGAGTTGGGCCCACTCTCTTACTCTGTTTGACTGAGTAAGCCTCAGTTCTTCTTCTGCCTCCATCATCCCTGGTCCTGGAGGTCTAGTCAGGGATGCCCACTGTTTATGTCCTGGTGCTCACACTGGACAGTCCTTGTTGGGATTATTGCTAATTCCTTTATGGGTCAAAGCAGTGCAGCAAAGAGTGGGTCAAATGAGGTGCTCCTACAGCAGCACCTTCGAATGAGACATTGCCAGAATGCAGAGAGGAAAGGACAGGGAGGATATTCAAGGGTTTGCTTTAGAATTTTAGCTGGCATCCCTGCTTGAGGTTCATCAGTGCACAGAGTGCCCATTTAAGGGAGGAATAGGGAACGTACTGAAAAAGCTGTGGACAGAAAGACTGCTATGTTCATAGTAAATACACTATAGTCAAAACTGATTGAACTTAATTGCAAATCTACAGCTAAGGTAGGGTATGTCACATTTGAAGATCTGTTGTCTTTGTAATTTTGCTAACAGGTTCATGGCCTAAGAATGAACATATGAACAACATGGGTATGACTGTTGTCATTTCCTTTAGTTGACTCACTTCCATTTCTTCAGCTGGAAGAGCTGAGGAGCAAGCAACTTAGGTAGGACAAGTTTTGTCAGGTTACCCAAGGATGAATCTGCAAAGGCTCAGTGCATATAAGCTCCTTAAGGATTACTGCAGAGGGAAGAATTTTGCGTATAAAGCTCCTGGAAAGTTGCTTGGCATAATTCAGCAGACCCCTGCTTTACAAAAATCCAAGATACTCAGTACTAGGGGCCAGTTCAAATTATTCAGTGCATAAATGTTATGGTGAGAACCTAAAGGTTTTCATTCCTTGATTCTTCTAACCCTAATGTAGCATTAACACACTGCATGTGTGTGTTTCTAGGGCAACAGGGTTTGCTTTGCCTATATTTAAATGAACTGGAAGGCCTTGCTAACTGTAGGCCTTCACCATTAATTACATATGCCAGTTTTCCTCAAAGGGAGATTCAACAAGAATTTGAGAATTTATACTTGAGGGCAAGCTATTGCATGTGCACAAACACACACACACATGCATCCTAAGTAGGGCTGGTATTAGAACGGAAAATGAACAAGCCTGTTCTTGCCTGTAACTTAATTTGCATTGCATGGGTTTATGACTACAGTGATGGTTTGGTCCCCATTATAAAAGAAGAGAAAAAGGAGGGAGATTCCTCCACCTCACTGCCCACACATAGTAAGTTTTACAATAGATGAATTGTATTGCTGATCACGAGCGGTACACAAATCAGCAAAACTTGAGCTTGTGAAAGTTCTCTGAATTTTACCTCAGGGTTTTTTTGACTCAAGTCCATATCACATTGGAAGCCTAATTTTTGTTTTGGCATGAACATTTGTGCATATTTTCATGCATACTTTTCAAGTGGTACACATCAGCTGCATGCATTTTTGAAATGTACTTATTCTTTTCCAGTTGATTATAGTGCATTTGTGTATATTTAAAAAAACCTGCCCCCTTTTACATGTGCATATTTCAAATACATGTATGCCATCATACACAGTTTTGAGGGGTCTGCAGATCATATTGTGAACTCAGAAATGTAAAGACTTTGATAGCAGATTGTGTGTTCATGTCCAGTTTAGAAGCTGTAAACTGAATTACCAAAAATGAATAGAAACAATTCTCACATATGTCCCCACTCATCACCAAGTATTATTTGCTGGCTGAACAGAGAATATTGCAGGTTAAATCAGTCTTTTTTAAAAGCACCACCACTCCCAGAGGAATCACACCAATAAAAGAGCCTGATTTGAAAGCCATTCTTCATAATTGTTTTGATTTGAAATACTTTAAAGAATGCTTCCTATCTTGTGAGAGAGCCAGTCTTATACTTTGGTCTAACAGGTGCTTGATAACCACTTTCTAAATTTTGCAATCCAGAACGATGGCAGCATTAGTAAAAACACCAGATATATTCAGAGTTCTGTGTCGCCTTGTTGGTGCATATGCTGTGCTTTTCCCCAGTAAATTTCATCATCATTGCTGTAGTCCATTAGAAACATACAACTGGACATGCCTGGGTTTTACAAAGTCTGAAAAATTGTCTTCTTGGTGGCCACCCTCTAGCTGTAGAAGATTTTCTAAAGCCTTTACAACCTTGGGGTGGAGGATTCTCTGGAAACTGTGGAAGATCTTTATATTCAGCCTGGCTTTCTGGGCTAGATGTGAGCAGGAAAATGTTGGTGTCTTCTTTATTTTTTTAAGTTGGTATCTAATTATTACCACTGACTCTCTGTCTTTAGGTCATAACTGTGTCAAAGAGAGCACTAAGAGTAAAATCATTGCAGAATAGTGATGTTGCTTGTTAATATTAATTCTATCAATACCAGGTGCTGAACTTATTGGGTGACTTCTAATGTTGTAAAAATGGACCTTCACTTGCATAATGGACATCTCCTTACTTTCCATCCATTCCCCCTCACCAGATTTGCTCTGGAACATATTTAAGGAGACTGCAGAGGGAAATTTGCTCCACTGGAAATATTCCTGCTTCTGTTGGAGGAACAGATTTGTCTAGACTCCAGTATTTAAGTCTACACATTTTTTTTTTTCATTGTCATCTTAAGACTTTACAGACTCTGCGAAGTCCTATTCCCATGCCCCATTTTTCCATGAACGTCTTTTCAGCAGATACTGAGGAAACATCTGATGGCATAGTACTGACAGAAAGTTCCCGCTGCTTGGGAAGACAAGAATTTGGCCCCATTATCTCATTTCATCACTCAGAATAGTAGCTTTCTGGACATAACTTTGCTAGGTGTAAGTTCCTGAAAGTAGTTCAGGCATACTAGCTTTTCCCTGAAGTTAAGTTACATGAAGCAGTGGAAATGTTGCTCATCACTGATTTTCATAAACTTTCACTGGACCCTAGAATCCTAGAGAGTTGAAAGGGATCATGAAGGCCATCAAACCCAACCCCCTGCTGTTTCAGGACACCCATTCACACCATCTCACTCAGATGCCTGTCCAGTTTCTTTTTGAATGTCTCTAGGCTGGGAATGCCCACAGCCTGTCCAGGCAGCTGCTCTCACTGTTGTATTGCTTTGACTTTGACTTGACTTTGTATCCTGTAAAGTCAAGCCTTCTGGCATGCAGTCTATGTAATTAGAGAGAAATGCATCCTGGCGCGGTTCTCAGGCATCTCATCACAGCATTCCAGAGCAGGACTGGCTAGGCATGTGTGTACGTGTTTGTGTTTCATTATTGTAGTCCCTGCTATGTGGTTCTACCTCCTGTATCTTAAATGGCATTTCAAGCAAAGTTGGCTCCTTCATTAACTGTAGCTTGTTAGATTTATTGTGATTATATTTGTACCTTGGTTGTTGCTGTTGCTATAGAACATCCAGAAGTTGTAAAACTTCAAAATCTGTTGAAGTGCCTGCCCATACCTTGTGGCAATATGAACTGCGGAAACCATACAAAGCACTGTAACTTTATCTTTCAGTTTTGTTCACACATGTATTATCAGCATTGTCTCTTCCAGGAGCAGCTCATTAGCTGGTATGAAACACACAGGGGATCAGACAGGTTGGAAAAAAGAAAACTGATGGGCCAAAGTTGGACTTCTTTTCCATTTCATGCCTCTCTACTTTCTCTCCTTTTGCAGATAATTGCGAGGAGCCTCTGGTACTCTCGCTACCTGCGACAGCCTTTGACAGCTCCTCCGAGCTCTCCAGCAGCCACAGCCCCAGCTTTGCAAAGCTCATCAGACGGGATGGTAAGATCACTGGCAGTCATAATATTGCTGTGATGCATAATGCATTGGAGTCATTCAGTGCAAAGCCTTCAGTCAACTGAAGCAGAATTCTCCCTTCATGCCCCCCACAGGTAGTGCAAGTTCAAAAAAAATGTGCCAGTCAGAGTGGAGAAGGGTACAAGTTCACTTCTGAAACTAATTTGAAGAATCTCTTTGCACTTCTTGAGAGGGGCTGTAAGATTAGAAGGGATGGTGGTGGTGGTGATGATGATGATGATGATGATGATGATGATGATGATTCCATTACATTTCTAGTCATCTTCCCAAGGTAATGCCCCCCTCTGGATGCCCTGGACTTCGTATCCCATCATTCTTACCTAGCATGTCCACTGGCATATTAGCAATGCTGTGAGCTGCACAGATGTAAGACATCTGCAGCATCTGTAAGTCATCTGCAGGGGATTAGGCTGGGGAGCACAATAGTTCTGTTTTCCTCTAGGAGTGCATGAACATTTCATTTTTCATTTCAAAATAATAGAGCAAGTCCCATTTGAAGTCCCAAAAGTGAATACCATCATGGGTCCACCAAAAATATTTGCAAATTGTCAAACATGGGCTCAAGCTCCTGTTGTTCCTGAACCCAAGTTCAGTTTGCACAAACATACTAATGTGCACAGGTTTCCATCACAGATTAAATCAACCCCAGTATAGTCTGCGAAGAAGGATTATGTAAAATTCAGGAGATTCGTCCAAATCTGATCACTGCTCAGTTTGTGCAAATGACTTGTTTGAACAAAGCAAGCAGTGACTGCAATTAGGAATCTGGCACAAGATGAGCAGTAGAAGAATGTTTGAAAAATCCCAGTCTCAACCACAAAGCCACTGAAGCTTGGTCAGCATTGCAGCAGCTTTCCATGCTCTCAAAGATCATGCTAGTGAGAGAAGAAGCCAAATTGCCTATTATTTGCACATGACTTTGGTCTTCTAATAGCAGGGTCATGTTAAAAGGAGGCATACCACACATCCTCCCATGCCACTGAAGTAACATTAGGGATTCAATCTACGTTTCTAGTTGGTGGAGAAGTACAGCATGCAATTCAAATCCACGGAACTCTTCCTTTTGCTTCCTTCTAAGCATACCCAAAATAACACCTTGTAATCTGTATCTGTTCCTAAACACCTTAGACATTTCATTTAGACAGTATTGCAATTCTACATTAGTGTTATAGCTTCTTTTATCCTTTATCAGGTAGCTTCTCTTAACTGGTGAGAGACTCAATACTTCAGCGACATTTTTCCTGAAAAGTTCTGAATTACATTGCGTATGTTGCAGCAACCATCAGGCATGCTTTACTCCCTATCTGTCAGTCCTTGATCTCTCCCATTTCCCGTATTCTTCTCATGTGCAGAAGAGCATGAGTAGCCCATATGGGAAACTGCAATACATGAAATTCTATGCAGCGTCCAGCAAAAGTCATAATCGTTTTCTTAGATAGTAGAAAAGGGGTTAGACTCTTGGGGTACACCAGAAGATTGTCACTGGTTGATTACTGTTGTGATTGTCTAACATGTATTTATGCCTGGGTAAACACACACAAAACTACTGATGTTGGAATGGCAACCAGCATTTGTGGGGTTGGGGTTGAGTGGTGTCTGCGTGCTTAGCTGACAGCACTGAGGCTACCTTCTCCCAGCCAAAATCAGCTCAGAACTTGGGCTGCTCCAAGCCTGATTTCAGGCTCTGGGCATTCACTTACCAGCTGGCAAGGGTGTCAAGATAGTGATCCAAAGTGCCTCATGGTCACTCACACCTGCTCAATACTCAGTTGTCATCTGTGTGCCAAGTGAGTCTACAAAGCCCTGATGTAACCAGTGCTGTGATAATCCAAAACCAATTTGCTGGAATCAAAGTTGTTTTGAATGTTGTGTTGATGTTATAAATTACTTGGTTTTTGTTTTCATGGGGCCTATTGAGTAGATGTTCCAAATGTATGAAGAGCCAGAACTTTCAGACATGAACAAATGAGTCCAGAACATCTTTTTATTTAGCTGGATGCAGCAAAATTTGACTATCATACTAAAAAAGAGGCTGCATAGGATCATAAGAAGCACAGTTGCAGTCAAAACAAATGAGATAGCCCTGGAGCAGACTTTAGTGAGAAAGAAGTCTAGCAGTGCTGACAAACAATGGCTTGCATCACGAGTATTGCCACTGGATGGTCTGTGGTGACCAGGCAACATGATCTTTGGTCTCTTAATGCTCAGCTCAAAACAAAGTTGAATAGAAAGATAAATTGTTCCAGCTTTAGCTTTCTTTCTTGCTTAGATATGAGATATGGTATTAGATGTGTAAAATAATGAACTGGGAACTTTGACATGAAAGCTTAAGTAGGGAAATAGAACTTGAACTGCTTGCGCTCACCCAGTTTCTCCAAAATTTACTCTAAAGCTTGATTTGGATGGTTTTCATTTTCATGCAGGACTTGTTTTGTTTCGTTTTTGTTTTATCCTGTGGGGAAAACTGTGTACTTCTGTATATACTTTCAGAAATACACATTTTGAAAACACATAACATTTTCTGAAAGTGTTTAGAGAAAATGCTACTGAATAACAAAGATTTTTGGGTGGCTTACAATGAAAATATCAGTGATGACATTAAAGTACAATGATAAACACCATGAAAATGTGTGGATATCCTACCTTTGTGGCTGTTGTAAAACCAGATATGCTCATCTATACCTACAAAACATGGTTTGGGAGAGAGAGAAAGGCAAGCCCAGTCCAGCCAACCCACCTTGCTGCTGTTGGTCAGGCAGACTGAAACCACGTCTCAGTTCATTTCATTAAGATCTCGTCATGGTTCTGCTACAGCCGCATGCCTTATCCCAGGTGCATATGGCATGGTTTGCTGTGGGATGTCCAGTTGTCCTGCCATTCCCCCACATCACATCTATGCTCCTGAGCACTTCCCATGGGTGTTGCTCTCTTGATGATTTGTGACATTATTTGAAAATCTGTCAACATCATGTGCCATGGGAGTTGTGTTTATAGTATCACAATAAAAGCTTGGTGTAGATCTAGCCTCAATCTCTCAAGAAGTTTGGGTGAGTCTTGTGAGACACAGAATAGGTTCCTTGCAGCTGAAGTCTTGGCAAAAAGACAAACAACCTGTCTTTCTCGGTCACAGTGATGCCATCATCTTGCCTCTATGGGTAAGACAGTTGTGCCCACACAAAGATTCTGGATGTCATCACCACCACCACTAGGCTCTAATGGTATCAGATGGATCCTCACTGAAATATTCAGTTTGGGATCACAATGCTAATTTGCCCATGGAAGGTCTCCTAAGGGCTTTGAACATTACTAGTATAACTACTGAAAGGCATTCCTACCAGGTAAATGAACTGTAGAAATTATAATGTTCTATATAGCACACCTTTGGGATACCTACAGATTTAGAAAAGCAGCAGCCTGGAGAATCTGCACAAACATGAAAAAGAGGGGAGGGTAATATATACAATGTTAAATCAAGCCTGACCCAGTTCTGCATTAGCAGCGGTTTATTAGTCAAATGTGCAGTGTTTTGCACAATATAATGTAAGCTTTTGAATAAATAATGAATGGTTGCATTTAAGAAGTTTACAGACTTGAGTTGTTAAAGGAAGGAATAATTAATGCTCTGAGTCTGGTGGAACAAGCCTCATTATGCGTGAGAAGTGGCTTTACTTGTATGTGCATGCAAGTGGCCCACTCGTTTTCTTTTAAAAATCGAATCCTTCCTGTGTTTCTGGAGTAGCACAGAAGAGAGCATCTGGGGAAAAGGAAAAGAGCAACTTAGACACTTCATTGCACTTCCAGTTCTACTCTGAACACCTCTTGATTGGTGTCTGAATTGGCAGTTGTCAAGTATGGCTTAGTGTTGAGACTTAAGCACTGGAATTCAACAGTCTCATTCCATCAAAAAAATCCCACAAAAATTAGGTTTTAAGTATTCTGAAATAATAGAATCATAGAGTGATAGAAGAGTAGAGTTTGAAGGAGCCAATGAGGCTGTCAGGTCCAACTCCCTGCTCAGTGTTGGACTCCAAGTTAAAACATCTGTAATGGACAGCTGTCCGGCTTCATCTTGAATCCATGGGATTGCCCAGAATCTTCCTAGGTTATTGTGTCCAGTGTCATATCACTTTAGCATCCATGAAGTTTTTTCTGATGTTCAGCAGAGTCTGGATTTCTGTAGCTTGAGCTCATTATTCTGTGTTTTTCACTCCAGAAAAATCAAGAAGAGATCCTTGCCCTCTTCAGTGTGAACACCTTTCATGTACTGGAAGAGTACTATCATATCTCCCTTTAGTCGTCTCTTTGCCAGGCTATATATGTCCAGTGCTTGTGGTCCCTCTTCAAAGAGTTTTGCTTCCAATCTCCTAATCATCTTTGTTGTCCTTCCATGAACTTTTCTCAGCTTGTCTCCCTCTTTCTTGAACTGTGTTGCCCAGACCTGGAGACACTACTCCAGATGAGGCCTCGCCCATGCTGAGTGGAGAGGAACCAGCACATCATGTGATTTAGAAGCTATCTTTCTATGAGTCCTGACTGAATAGAATTTGCCTGCTTTGCAGACACATCAGATTGTTGGCTCATATTCAGCCCATATTCTTTCTTGCTTGTAGTATTGTCAAGCCAAGTGTGTCCCAGCTTATAACTATGTATTTAGGTTCTTTAAAGGAGGGAGAAGAAATGCATACAAAATGTAAAGTCCATATTCATGTGAAACCTTTAACGCAACCTTATGTAATAGATGCACATAAAAATAATCACAAATAGTTCATAAAGTATGGCATCCTTAGACAAAACACTTATCCTATGTGTGTCTGTGTAGATCCCTCTTTCTCCTTGTATAAAACAGTTCCACTTCATTTTTAGCAACTCCCAGATTTCTCTTCTCCAAGATGCATTTAGCCTGTTAAAGTTTAACACCTTAAAGTTTTCCTAGGAATTCTCTGGACCTGCTGAACACACGTCTGAAACATGTTAGGGCTGAAGAAATGAATTACAGGAAGTCGTAGGGGGAAATGGCAGGAAGGGAAAGGCTTAAGCAGTTCCCTTTTGCTTGTCTGCAGCAAAGGTCCCTTTCAACGGGCACCGCAAGGCAGAAAGGGCCATGGTGACACAAATGGTAGTTGTAGCTAAATAGTAGATTTACTGCATATCCGATTACCTCATTTGGCATTTCTTTTCACAAAACGAGACCATTTCCATTATCCTTCCAGTGGTCTGCACACAATGGGGCTCAAATACGTGGCAGGGAACAGCTGAGCTCCTAGGAGCATCTCGTGTGGCTTGAAATCACGCATGACAAGGGTTCTAAATTGCATATTTCAAAATATCTATAATTCGTATATACTTACTATCACATGAAATAGCCCTCAGATATGATGTATTTTTCTTGAGTATTAAAGGAATGCTATAATAGGGAAGTCCCAGATAATCTAAGAGTGAGAAAGCACAATATAAAGCATTTTGTGCTAAATAATTGTCTCATCCATTATAGAAGTAATGTAACCTTTTGTTTTAAGTCGCTACATATGTGATATTTGCTCAAGAGTAGCAGCACACACCATTAATATTAGTGATCTCAGTTCCACATCTTTGATCTGAGAACACGTTGAGGAAATATTGAGAAAGATACAGAAGATACCTCAGCTGCTTGGCTTGGTATTTTAATTAAAACACACACACAAAATCTAATCCTCTTTGATTACTGAAACTTAATTGCATGTAGGAATATGTAAACCTCCCCTGAGAAATTTTCTAAGACTTAACAATGCTTCTCTCCACATTTGCCTTGGAAGTTTTGGCTAAGCGATGGTTTCTCAAGTCCGTCTCGAACTTGGCTTTGAGTAAATTTGGTAAAACAGCTATTTTTCACAGCAGTTAGCATAGTAGTTCCCAGAATTATCACATTTCACAAAAGGTGAGAATTTGTTGGAGGTGATAAAATAGATGATGAAATAGGATGGGGGTCCTGCAAGAGCATTTTAAACAAAGAAAATCATTCACGTATAAATTATGAAATAAAACAGCTGTTCTCAGCCATGTTTCCATAACATGACAGGGATATATAGCAATACAAACCTCTTAGCCAGTTCTATTATGCTGGTTCTTTTAAAAGGATCTTCCAACTTCCTCTTTTTGGTCAATGTCATCCATGAGTTTCGTCTTGCATATTTTTGTTATATTTTTGTCTTGCATATTTTTGTTATACTATTGATGCTGAAAATTAGAGTGTCTGTTCGTCTTGGCTTATCTTGTAATACATTTGGTTGCTATGGAAAATATAAGGCAACAAACAAGAGTTCTCTATCACACCATATGCAACAAGCACCTTGCAGTGAGAAAAGGACAGGAATCTGTGTGCGCATTTGCCTTTCTTTGTGCCTAAGTACAAGCTTCCTATGAATGCCAGTGGGAAATGGGGAAAATGAAAGGAGGAGAGGTGAGGCCCCACAGAGATGATTTCATGAACTGCTAACCATATAGCAATGCTATTAATAGGGCATGCTTCTAATTTTATGGGCAATTCTGGGGCACAGTGGATATTTCTGATGGTAGTAGGGAATCTAAAGCCAGCAGACATAATAAAGCCACACATAATCAGTGGAGCTGCCATTAATAAGAGAAAAGGGTCACTGAAAAATGCCTGCAGTGCACTCCTCTGCCTTGGATTCTAACCTGCTCCAATTGTATTTCATCTCCGTGCTGTTGCTGATGGTGTAGTAAAAAGGGAGACCCCTCCCCTCCCTTTTGCTGGGTCTCAAGCAGTGGCATCTGCTCCCTGAAGTGTGGATGTCAGAAGAGGGTGCTGGAACATATGGCAGGAAAGAAAGCATTGCACTGTAAACATGACAAAAATATGCATATTCATTACATTTTCAGAAAGAATGAAAGAATGAGAGAGAGAGAGAGAGAGAGAGAGAGAGAGAGAGAGAGAGAGAGAGAGAGAGAGAGAGAGATCGGAGAAATAATTGGGAGAGGAAAAGGAGGTGCGGCTTCCTAGGCAAGATGTGAACCTGTCTCTAGCTCTGTTTGCATTAATTGTTCAAAACAAAAAATCCATGAAGTGTGTTTAGGAAACACAATAAAATATTTACTTTGGCAGCTTTTACACCACCTGGCACTCAGGCTGCTTCTGCAGAGCTGAGCAACTTACAGGAGATCTAGATGGTTTGCAACAGTATAGTTTTAAAAGCTGCTCCCCCCACCTCCACCTGTACCCAATTAATTCACTCACACAACAACATCAGTGAATACATGTTTGTCCCAGTTTGTTTTCATTGTTCTTTCTAATCTGCCCATCCTTGACCAGAAATCCAGTAAAATAGCCTAAAATGAGAACAAATAAGCTCCAAACAATTGATTGTGCTTATGCTTACTCAGAAGGTAGACCCAATGTGGTACTTACTTGCCAGCAAGTGTGTTGAGAACTAGAGGGTGAAACAGTTGAACAATATAGCTCAAAAGTGCTCTGCATATAATGGAAGCATTCTTTATCTGATTGGCAGATTCTGAAATTGGTCGATTCTGAAATTAAATTTATAGTAAAAAATTTATAGCTCACAACAGTCCTAGGAACAAAAAACGAGATGAAGCTTAGAGAAGGGCCAAACTGTAGTTCCAATCGACACAGGTGAGCATCACCAACACATCTCTAATGTTGTTCAATGCCAATCTCCTATCCTCACCCACTCACGCTGGATTATTTTGAATCACCACCATTATCTTGGAACCCTTAGGAGAACTATCTTAGAGAAAGCCTTTCTTCCTGGCTTGCTAGCAGAAAGGGAGGGAGCGGTCCCATCTCCTACCTTCTCTCTCCCAGTGAGTGCCACCATTTGTAAGTCTTGCTTAGTGGATCAGTGAATGTGATTTGAGGTTGTTGACAGGAAGCTAAGCTGCTTCCCCCCCCCACCCTTCACCTTGAATTTTAATTGGTGTCAGAGAATATCCAGGGGCCTTATGATGTTAACCCTTCCTTTGCAAGGTGCAAGCTTCACAGGCATCTCTGTTCACAGCCACTGCAATCCCAATGGGGAGGACTGACAGCATGCCCCCCCACCCCAGCTGGAGTGAACAATGAATCGTATTTGAAATAGAGGACAGCTATTGTGCAGCAAGTCTGGGGAGGCATGGTAGGCGAAAGGATATACAGGTTATTAATATGCAAATTGAACTTGTTAAATTAGAATCCTTGATTCCATAAAGTTCTTTATGCCTAGGGTGTGACTTTCTTGTACAGAACTCAGAGTGCTGAATTGATAGTTCAGACAGAAATAGGTGGACAGGATGAGGAAACAAGATAGTGGGCTAAGAAGTGGACAGAGAGGCAAGGAGAGAAGAAAACAGAAATCTAGTGGGGAATGGGAGTGCAATCTAGTAGCACAATCCTACCATTTGATTTTCTGCCACAAGTCTGAGATGCCCTTATGATTCCATGTTCCTGTATTCTTTCAGCATGCTTTTGTTCCTGGGGTTCTGTGTGTGAAGTGATGCAGCAGTTCTGAGTCCTAAATCTGTCTAGAAACCACATCTTCTAGCCCAGAGACCCACTTCTCAATTCTATATATCCAGCAGGAAGGCTGTAGTTAGTGCTGGAAGTAGGTGCTGTTGTCAAGAAGCTCCCATTTTGACCCTACACTGCCATTTTGCCTAAGATCTTCTATGTCTCCAGTAACTACCTAGTTGACAAGGGCTATGTCAATCCTGGACAAGGATGAAGAACTGTCTAGTTGTCTAATCACTTCACACACTGTGGGTGACATCCAGGGAAGAAGGCATGGCACCTTACAAAGAAAGACCCTGGGACTAACATTTTCTTCTTCTGAATATTGTTCCCTTGGGTCATGTTGAAGATGAAGAGAATATACTTTGCTCTACCAGTATACATGAATTTGAGATTTATTTCAGACCTATTTAACTCAAGAAACTGTGATCTTTTTCCTAGGAGCTGGTGGCTGGTCCCCATTGGATTCTAACAAGGAAGAATGGCTCCAGATTGATCTGGGAGACAGAGTGGAGATTACTGGTGTTGCTACTCAAGGAAGGTATGGAAGTTCAGACTGGACAACAAGCTACGTTCTAATGTTCAGTGACACAGGTCGCAACTGGAAGCAGTACAGAGAGGATGACATCATCTGGGTAGGTCTGATATTTTTGGACTAAAGATTGTGGTATGATCATCAACTGCTTCCAGACAGATGTGACATTATAATCCCCAGTTCAAGTTTTCTTTGTCTAGCATCAGTAGGGCATATACACTATTGTAAGAGCATATTGTAACTTTCCATCTTTCTATATAGGACACAAGCTTCGGTAGAGATGCTGTTGGGAATTTCAAGAGAAACAATCCAGATTGCTTGAATCTTAAATATATCTATTTCCCCTCCCTAGGAACTCTCACAATATTATGTACTAAAGAGCTCAAAAAGAGAGAAAAGGAGGACACAAACAACATTCCCCAGTGTACAAAACATGGTTTGTAAATTGTATAGCTTATGTTTCTGGTGAGCTTGCAGTTGTGCAGTATCAATTCCACATCCTCATTATTTAAAACATTGGCAATGATTGATCTCCACAAGCAATATTCTTGTTTCACCTGAATAAGCCACCTTCTGTTCGTGTAAGTGTATGAATTAATATATATTTATCTATTATTTATCAACTTATCTATAAATATTTATCTATTTGCTTCCTTCCTTCTCACAAAGAATGCAGTGTGTCTGGCAACATAAATAAAAACAATACAATGTGTACAGCCATTAAAATCATAAGTCTAAAAATCACAAAGATATAATAATGTACAATAAAACTATCAACCCACTGAACAGAAAAACAAATAAAGCACATACCCACAGATCTTGCATAGCTAAGTAAGTCTTCAAGTGGAATCTAAAGGCAGCAGCATGAGAAGCCACTCAATCTCTATTCAAAGTAGATGTGAATTGCAGCTGAAAGGGGATCTAGTGTTCTGCAGCACTGGGACATCCATAGATCAGTACATCTATGCACAGGTGCTATTGACTGGGCTTCAATTAATTATATTTTTTCCTTCCATATCTGTTAGTTTTGAAGGACAAGATTGGATTCAACAATGGCTAAGAACATAAGGTATGATCTGAAAGTGTCTTACTTGAATCTCAGCCCAGGAATCAATTTACTTGGCAGTCCTTATGTAAATTGCCAGTTTCTCAGACTCATTCTCTTGACCTCTAAGCTGGAGATAAAAATGCGTGCAAGTTTTAGAGTTGGTGTGAAGATTTGATTTAAGGACTATGAAATGCTTTGGACAATTAACATGTAAAATCCAAGCATTGCTACAGTTTGGACTATCATGATTCCTAAGTTAAATATATTTTGTTGTCAAACAACATGTTCCAGGAGACTGTTAATTTCTGCTAATAATTTCACTTATAATGACATAGATAATGAAGCAGTAGGAATTCCATGGAGGGTCATTGCTGTTAACTGATGCTATGGCTTAGGTCAAGCATTTTTGTACTGTTTTATTTATTCCAAGTTTATAAGTTAGCCTTTAGTACTGTTGCCCCCAGGGTGCCTGGCTAACCAGCAGACATCTTAATGATCACATCTTTTAACTGTGCCATTAAAGCAATGAAATAAAAACAGCAGACAAGAAAACAAAACCCATAAGAGCCTAACAGGAACCTTTAAATATTCTAAGCAAAACTGAAGGCTAAGGATTCAAAAAAGTAATAATTTGGCATCCAAAAATGTAAGACCCCCAAGGAAAGATACTCCAAAGGTGGCTGCTACATCGAAAATATCCAAGCCCCCTCAATGCACCTCAGAGTATGGTCCCCAGCTTAACTGGCATCCAGGTTTGTACGGATGAAGGTGATCTTTCAGCAGCTTTTTCATCTCAAATATTTAAGGATTTTGGAGAAATGATGCGGAACTTCTCTAATTCTAGATTACACAATAACTTCAGTTACCTATACAGCTATATGGAGTGTGTCACACTTATCGCATCTCTGTTTCACAGATTTTCATGTGCCTTTTAGTCCGTCAGCTGCTCTTTGATGAAACTCAATCCACATGACTCCAAAAATTAGACTTGTTGCAGAACCTGAATTCATTTGAATCTGTTGTGAGTTTCTCCAACATCCCTAGTTAACTGGTATAATTTATATAAAGATTCAGTTTCAATTCACTTCTTGGGTAAAAATAGATGAGAATTGTTTAAGATTCACCAAATTATATAAAATTATTCATATTCAAGATGGAAAGAATGTAAGATTTTTTTTAAGTATTGCAGATTTATCCATCCAGGCCTGGGGCCTAAAATGTTTACTGTAGTTCCTAAAGATTTACATTCCTCTGTATTTAACCACATTTGCCCTCAGGTGACTTTCTCTATTTTTATAAGTCCTGCATGATCAAATATCCTCATTCTGAGTTCTAAGTTACATGGGGATCCTGCTTGCTCTGGTTAGCCTCCAACACATGGAGGGTTGTGCGTCATGTTGACAAGGGTGCCATGATGGGTGGCATCAACAGGCTCTTTCCTTGTGTCTCGAACCACATGGGGGGATATCTTCATAGGGCTATACTGAAGCAGCGAGAATCATGTCACTAATCAACATGCCTCCAGGTAATTAGCTCCACCCCTTCCTAATATGAAATCTGAATGTGTCTTTAGGCCAATTCACACAGTACCTGTCTGAAGTCCCAGTTGTGCTCGTTACATTCAAAGTGCCTGCTGAGCTGTATTCTGGCTGACTGCACTTTTTAATACACATTTTAATGTGGTTCCAAGATTTAAAATCTTAGAATGCTTAGAAGCATTTCTTAAGAATGGAATGCTTTTTATTTGCAGGAGCCCTGCCAACCATGAGAGAGAACAATGTACGACAGGACAATAATCACAATTACAATCATAGCAAAATCACCGTAATAGATTCAAATGAGTTCAGATTTCTATGAATCCAAGCTGCAGATTCCTCAGCAATCCAGCTTTTTCTGAGCAGTGTGTATTCAGTGGACAGACTGTTTTTGTATGTTTGCTTGTGTAACTTTCTTTTTTGGAAGGATTGTGAAAATTTGCACTTTGCCAACGTGCACTTATGCAACTGGAACAAAATTGTCATGCATCTGTGAAAAATAATCTGATGCCAACAATGAATGGACCACAGAACAAAAGATAACTGCAAAATATATATTTAACAAAATCTGTGCATTCCAAAATAAAATATAGTATTGGCACATACTTCTAGATGAAGTTTTCATGGGAACCTCACCCTGTATCATTTGTGGAATTTTATAGGAAGAGGGAGTCAATATGATCACTCAGCTCATAACCCAGACAATCTTTTAAGAAAGAAAAGAACTCCGGCTTCCCCAATCCAGCATCCTCCAGATATTTTAAGCTTCAGTTTCAAATGGTCAGTGATAGGGTTGAGATGCAACCTACTTGAACCCATCCCTCTGGCATTCATGGGCTTCCTCTCAGGCTCAACCAGAAAGCTGACCCAAGAGGAAGTCCACACATGCTTGTGGAACAAAGGTTGAGTGATTGGCAACCTTCCTGGTAGGCCCCATGTGAACAACCTTCTTCTGCATCACTTGCAGCATCACAACAAACTCCATGATGGAAGAGGGATGCTGCTTGCACAGTGCATGTGGCTCAGTTCTTGGCCAGTGCCCCACAGATGTTTGGCACAATTACCAGGGACTTGGATTCAGGGCTGTGACAACAGACCAGGATCTGGACAGCTGAGCTAGGGAATCCAATGGATTCCACAACCCCACCGCTGAATGGTTTCTTCCCACATCTAGTCAGGGAAGGAAGGGGGGAAATAATGGCAGGCCAATGAGTTTCATTGGTAGGTAGGATTTGTACAGAAGAATCCCCCACACACCACAGCACCCTATTGGCTTGTCTCAGGTAGCATCCTCAGCAATGCTTCCTACATCATAGATCACCCTTTAAGCATATCTTGCCCAAATCAACATTCCCGAAAGTATCTAGTTACAATGGTTATTGCTAGCAGATGCTATAATTGTAGCACTTCAGATTCTATCCGATGAACAAAGAAATCTTATCAGGGGGAGGGAAGGTCATAAAATGCTATACACCATAAAAAAGGAAGGAGACCTATCAAAGCTACACCTTCAAGTGAATCTGTAACACTGTGTGATTCCTTATTTCTATTACTGTTCACCATGGGAATAGATGGCCTGCAGATAACTGCAGTTTCTGCTAATGCTGACAATGGTAAAATAAGTTTCTTAGGGGGAGCACAATTATAGAATAGTAAGGCTGGCAGGGAACTGAAGGTCATCAAACCCATCTCTGTCCCCTCCACTACACTGATTTAGTATCTCCCATATTCACCCGATTGAAGCAGTTTAAACTCATGCAAAACATAGCACAGTTTATGTCCACTGAGATTGTAAGACCCACAAGTAGAAAGAGAGGAGAGAGAAGAATCTATCCATCTGCAATATACTAATACTACCAATAATAATAAACAAATCATGCTCCAGCTGTCCTTAAGATAACAAATATAGTTAGTAAAGCATTCTTAAGCCATTCCAGAAAGTGATTTGTGTCATGGAATATCAGTGAGAGAGAATAATAAAAAACTTGCCAGATTTCATACTTCCATAAATGTGTTCCTGCTGTTATTTAATGATCATTTAGTTGTTAGACAGAGTTTAAGATTTTTTCTCAACTTCTTGTATGTTTTCTGTTTTAAAATTGGCTTTAAATTTTGCATTGTTAACTTTTATGTTTTAATATATTTTAATCTTGTGTTTTATGTTTTTAATGCAATTGAGTCCAAGCATGTTACATCACTGACTTGAGGTGTCCCCTCACCAGATCAACTGGGCTGGGTTAAGAGCCCACCAGGCTGCTGGCACCAGCCAGGAAACTAAGCTCAACTTTTTGGGAGTCTGGTCAAAGGCAGTCAGTTCCGCCATTGCTCAGACCCTCACAAAGGACTTCAGGCAAGCTGTGGCTCCCAACCAAAGCTGGTATTCTTCAGTGGCCCAGTGCCAGTTGCTATTGACTTTGTGGTGGGATACAGCAACCCTTGCATAACATGTGTTGTGCTTTGTAGCTCAAGAAGAAAAAGCAGTGGCAAAGTTCTCCCTCTTGCCGTTGTTGTGCTGCC